TGGAGTTTAACTGTTAATATGAGTCATTAGTTTATTGTACATGTATCATTAAACTGCAACATGAAATTTACTTCACTTTTGATTTTTGAGATGTAAAATATTTGCTTTTCACTAAATGTATCTGCTTGTTGTGAATTCTTTCCTTGGTCAGGTATCCTGAGATTCATAAGTGACCAATTAAGGAGGGAGCTCTCCCCCCTCCTCTTTCCTACATGTATAATGAAATTTATTACATTACAACATTGTATTTTTATCCAGCTAGTTTATAACAAATGTTACCATTAGACATCTACCACTAAAATCTCTTTAGGTAAATCCTACAGCTGACATCTACTGTAAGATACATGTATTAGATAACTATAAACTGATGTGGTGATTGTGCAATACAAATACTAAAACAACTTGAATTTATACTGTAAAAGCACAAATATTTGTGGGGGATTAAATTTCGTTGTTAACAAAATTCAACGAAATTAAATCCCACACGAAATTTCATCTGACTATATATTGAACAGGCCGGGTTAGTTTTAAAACAACGAAATTAAATGCACACGAAATTAACAACGAAATTTTATGCCCATGAAAATTTGTGCTTCTACAGTACTGCACTACTGCAGCTTTGGAAGAAATAGATACCTCTTCCAATGTAAAAACTGGTAGTTTCTCATGTTCTTATTATCCGTATAAGCACAAGTTGGTCACCTTCAGAAATATTGTAATTAAATTTCCTTTGTATTTTTTGTTTAACTGATATTTTCTTTTACAAAAAAAAAAAATAATAATAATAAAATTTAAGTAATAAATAATAGTAATTTTAAGTTTGTATTTTTTTATGTGTACCGGGTATATGTTGCAGTATTTTGTTAATTTGGCTTGGAGTCATATGATATTCTGTATGAAATTTTGGTGTATTCTTGAGAGTAAATGGGTGCTCTTCAAAATTAAAGTAGCCTACCAGAGTTTCTGTAAATGTAAAAATTAATTCCTGTTCCATTTGTTATGAAATATTACCATATAAATGACAGCATAGTATTCTTCTCATTTCTTGGAAAAAGTACTCCTAAATATCAGGAGAATTGGGAAGTAGTGCAGAACTATCATTGTTTTGATTGTTAAAATGCAGTTCTTGTGGGATTCCATTAATCTGTCACACATTAAAATATCCTACATATTTGCATTTTGTTTCTAACAGTGTTCGTTAAAATTCAGTTTTTCTTTTAAAAAGTAGGGGTTTCCTGGAAAAAAAATGTGATAATCAATGTTTTGGGTATTTTGCAATACCCAGGAGAGTACTTTTTTTTGATTTCTTAATAATCTGTCATGATGCTTTTGAAGAATTTTTTTTTAAGCTGAAAACCTTAAAAAAAAAGTTGTTTTTTTTTTTAAATTATAAATAAATTTTTCTGCAATAAGTTGTTTTATTATTCCAATTTCAATACAGTTTTTTTTTCTTCATTAATTTTTAGAAAACATCATAAGCATAAATAATTTCTCATGTGATAATTGAAAAATTTTCATTTAAATTTTGTTTGATTGAGAGTAATAGACCTAGTTAATGTTGAGTATGTGTCTTATACATTATTACTCGAAGAGGAAACACAGCACAAAGAAGATGCTTCCTTCTTCAGCGAAAATCATTGTCTTTAAATACAGTGTAAAAGTTTCAATGAATTTCCACAAAGGTATTTGATAGTTTGATGGTGAATTTCTATCCAATTATTGTAGCTGATCTTCTTCCCCTTCAGGCACTAAAAATTTGATGAATTTCTCGGTGATAGTTGGAGATAAGGCCCGCCTTCTGTATTGATACTGGTAAATGACAGATTCCTAACAGTAAGTTAAACTCCCCGTGTCTGCTAGCCTTATTTAAACTCCGCCCCCCTGATTCCTAAAATCATTTTATTTAAGCCAATGATAGCAATTGTTCAGGCTTTGGTGAATACTAATTAGCTCTTATTAATAAACATAGATAGCTTGTATCTACCTGTGGTCAGCTTGTGTTCTAGGGAGGGCTGGATTTTACATACTTTATCCCTCAACCTAAACCATATCTGTTTGCTTTCCGAAGTTGGATTGAATTGCAGTAAAAAGTAGCGAGTTTGACTGGTGTGGTATTGGCTTTCATTGTTGGGTGAAAACAAGCGGTAGCCTGACACCGTACTATTAAGAAGGTAGGCACAGTTTCCATGTCCGATTTCAAATACAGGGGACCGATTTCTTTAGGACTTAGTGGATAGTAAGGGCTGGTCCCTTGTCATTCTCATTTGGTCGGATCAGTTTTTTTTATTTTGTTAATTATGGAACTTGGGACTTAATTGTTTTTCTTCGTCAAAATCCTAGTCCAAGGATAAGGTAAGTCTTGCGGTCTCTTTAATCCGTATAAAATCGTAACATGTCAGCTCGAATTTTATTTCAACAATAAAAATTCATATTGGTTTGCAATGGGAGGACAAAATCAATTTTTACTAATGTAGAGAAAATTTGTAAGTATCAAGTTGGTGGTCATAAACTGATGTGATTGTAAGTGTAATATGACCAAGTGATACTGGTATTGTTGTTTCAGAGTACATTAGTATTTATTGCCCTCATTGCCTATATGGTTGGAATATTATAATGGAAAAATGTATAAGATTTAATTAAATAACTTAATCTAGATTTATTTTTGTTAATCTAATGTTTCAGATTTATATTTCCCTCCACAAAAAATTAATTTAAAACAAAATTTGTATTTCTTAAATTAATGAAAGTTTCATTTGTACTGATATTAATATGATTCTGTGCAAATAAACTCATCAAAAAATTATTTTGATTTATTAGTAAATTGATATTGGGATTAAATAATAATTAAAAACCATAGGAAGAAAAATATAATATTTATGCAATTTATAATTTAATTATAAGTCCGGGATTTTTTCACAGTTACATCTACACAGGTAATTTCCCTGGTAATTTGTAAGTGATGTACAATTCCTTGGGTGACTTACATTTAAACATAGATCTCTCCGCTGGATACTTCCTTTGTCCCAGAGGGACAGGTGGACAAAAAAATGACATAATCAGAAAATTACGCGAGGAAAGACCTTAAACCCTGTGTTTCTCCCCATCCCCCCTACCAAGTGGGTAATGACTCTGGGAGTTAGTCTCTGGTTTTCATCAGCGACCATGGACACAGGTGTAACGTGGTCATTTCATGTGGAAGGAAATGAATAGCTGGTAGTCACACCTGAGATTAACAGAGTGGACGGACTTGCCATAATCTGTTTTATCTGATGAGCCGATATCACGCAGGGTACTTTTAATTATGTCTTGATAATTACCATCAGGTTTTATAAAAGAACCCTATAATGATATTAAAGTCTTAAGACAATCATGTATAGCCGTCTTTTTTAATTATTTTGTTTTTGTTTGAATTAATAGAGGGAAAATGAAAAATCTGTTTAGGTGGGGAATTGGTTGTCTGTATTGATTTAGGATTTGTTTCATAATATACTCACATTTATTGAATAAAATAAATCATACTTTATTAATTTACTGCTAAAATAAATATTATTTAAACTTCAATATTGAAATTTGTTAACAGGAAAACCAATGCAAATATTTTATTTTGAAATTTACAGAATTTCACTGAATATTTTTTTTTTAAATGATTAGATTTAACTGGTTACTTAAAACTTAAACTTTACATTTTTGAATGCTATAAAGAAATTATAATTAAATATTTTTTATATATTTATTTTTATTTATGAAGTACAATTATAAATTTATTTTAATTAAATGTACCATCTCGGATATATTTTAGAAAATAAACTCCAACTTTATTATTATAAACATTTACTTCTTTTGAATCTTAAGACCTTATAAGTTTATTTTAAAATCTGATTTCAAAATTGCTTAGCCCTCTCAGACTTCTCTTTAGTACCCTGCTGAGGAGTATGATTCAAACCCAATTAGTTTAGTTAGCACACAGTTGACATCTTTAATTGCCCATCTGAATCTTGTGTCATTTTCCTGTGGTTATAATGCCCTCCTGGAGAGTCCGATTTCACCCTCTCTCCCCCCTAATCTCTCCTCCAACCTCACTAATACAAGCCACAGTATAAATATAGGCAACTTGTTTTTGCTGTCATAATCACAATATTGATGATGTTTTCCCCAAAATTCATCAGCCTCCCATCAGATAAGATTTACTCTGGTCACTGAAGGAGGGGGGAAGGCCAGGTCTGTTGGGGTGACCTTGTTCCAAGAGAGACCTCCTGCCGTGCGTGTAGCCCCCTTGTGGTCATTGTCTTTTCCCTGTAGAGAGAGGAGAGGCAGTATAACCATTTAGCTGCTGATCTGGCAATCTTAATTTACAAGCATGTGTGTGACCTAGTATATCGTTCTGTCTGATGTGTCTACAAACATCAGAGGAAAAGGGGGAGAGAAAAATATCCACCATGTTGTTGGGGAGTGTGAACCCTCGACTAGGTTTCTTTATTTCTATCTCCCCTCCCGCCTCCCCACCCTGTAGGAAGGTGAGTGGTTCCGAGTGCTTTTTTTTTGTGCTGTATGCCGATATGATTTTAATGAGGGGTGTTCTGTTAGATTCTCTCCGGTTTTAATGAGGTGGTTACATCTGGCCATGATGCTAGTGATGTTCTCTGAAGTGCTGCAGATTGATATCAATAGATATTACACAACGTGGCAAGGGTGTTTTCTTAATTGGGGAAAGTGTAATGTAATAAATTTAAGAGATTCATAATAAAAAATTATTTTGATGTTTGTTTTCATAAACTAGATTGAATGCTAAATAATAAATTTATACTTAAGTATTCTTTATTTGATGTATATCATTGCCACACAGGAAGAAAAGCCAAAAAAATACAAATAAATAAAAATCTGAAAAATGAGCAAAAAAATGAAATTTAATTTTCTTTTCAAAAAAAGTCTTATGTTGCATGTTTGTACGTGTTCTAAAAAGTTGCTGAAAATTAACAGAATATTTCTGGTTCCATTTTTAGGCCAAGAGAGCTCGAAAGAATTCAGAGGAGTCTCTTTCTGGTGTCACCGTAGCAACAACAACAGGAGGAGACAGGTAAATAGTTTAGAAAATTATTGGCGCAGCAAATCAAATCTTATATCGCACACATACCCTCCTCCAGTTTTCCTAAAAACAGAAGAGTTGATTGTGGAACCAAAAAAAGAATAGGGAGGAACATCTAGGACTAGATATTCTTTGTATCCTCATTTGAAGTCCCCCCTTATTCTTAAAAAAAAAAACTGCTTGACCTTGTTTGCGGAAAGACACCATGAATGTGCATAAAATCTGACAATGGAGGGTCTTTTGTAGTTTTCTCTCCGCTAGGCTGTTCTAAAACAAAGGCATTCAAATGTTTTCCAGTCTAGAGGGAAAATATCAGCATTTTCATCTGTTTTTCACAAAGAAGAGACAAATGTTTTAAATGTAAAGAAGCACATGCACTATTAACAAAATAAAAAGGGGGAACACTGTCTATACACAAAATTTTTCCCATTACCATTCAGTGTGTTAAAATAAATAGGTTTTTGTATTGTTTTAATCATTTTAAACATCAGTGAAACTAATTTTTTTCCATTAATTTTCTTATCAAAGAAAGGCATTTTAGTAGATCTGTTAAGTTATAATTGAAAATAAATATTTCTAAAATTAATTAAAACAGAGTCATTTTAAGTTGATTTTGATAATCCAGCAAAAAAGATTTATTTCATATAAAATTTACAGATGCATTAATTGAGGTTAAAAAAAATAATTTTAAAGTCCATATAAACATGATGGCAGAATTTAGAAATTTTTAATTAAGTTTATTTATTATTTTTCATGTTAATATAGTCAATAAATATTAGCATATAAGTGTATAGCTCTCAATTTGAAACAAATATTTGAATTCAGACATAAGTAAATTACATTGTTGACATAATTAGTCACTTGTAGGAAGTGTGGAGTAGCTGCAGTAGCAGTGTATATAATCCTGGGTATATATGAGTAGGAGGGGTGGGGGTAATCCCCAATATACACAGGGCTGACATCTGTCAAGGTGTACACATCCTGTCTACTGCTGGTCACCACTGGTCAGGGCTGGTCAGTCTAGCCCTCTCCCAGACCAGAACATGACCTATATACACAACCAGCAGCCATGATCATTTCTGATGACTATTTCCTTGATGCCAGAAAAGAACTAGAGAAGTAAACACACTGTGCATGAAGTTATTACTTAAAATGCAGCAAATATATATTTTGTTGAATGATATTTTTAGTATATAAATAATTAAGGGAAACTGATATTGTAGGTTTACAAATTTTATACATGTTAAAGGCTAGCAAGTCCATAGAAAACATTGATAAATCAACATGTAATTAATTTAAATTATAATCTTAAAATTTTTACCTGTAATATTATCTGAAATTATAGTAGAGCATTTAAAGATTCTGTCACAAGATGTGCAGACAAAGTGCTCCACTACTGCTATGATGCTATGGGGATCAAAAACGAAGAGTTATAGTATAAAGCACTAGAGAACAGCCTCTTGTGAAGTCTAACGTTCTCAATAACAAAATATTTATCTTCAGCATTTTCACACGTTCTCATACAATTAGGCAGAGGAAGCCTTAAGTTTATTTTCCCCGTCCCTGCATCCTGAAATGCATGTATTGCTCCTTGTCAAGATTTAAAGACCAATTGGGAGGACAATGAGAAATAAGCGGTGATAGTTATTTTGATAGAAAGTTGTGTGGGGTTGTACCACCCTCCCTTTCAGGCCCACCGTGATAGGGGTTGCCCAATTCTATTTGGAAATCAGTTTTGTGTAAATATTTCTATTAATGGATATTCGGCTTGTCTTGTATTTATCCTGTTTGGACTTTTTGCGGGGTAAGCTGTCGTGACGCCAGGAGTATGTTTGGTCTTTTTTGTGTGTCTGTGTATTTGGTTAAATGTTAACACTTTTTCTGGCTGCTGTCATCGCGGAATGCTGTGTCGTCTTTAAGTACCCTTGGTGTTTCTCTCGATCAACACACCACAAATGTTGGCAATAAATGTGAGGACTTTTACATTCTTTTTAACTCTGGAGGTGTGTGGCTTTTTTTATTTTTAGCTTTGTACAAGGTAAGGTTCACTTGCTCTAAATCACAGACATTTTTTTTCTTTTGAATCTTTTCATGTGATTTGTTCTGAAAAGTAGGTTTATTTTGAAAAAGTACATAGACATGTTGTAGAGGATTGTGAGAAATTTACCAACATAATGGATCTGACAAGGGTATCTTTTGATTGTCTTAAATAATCTTCATAATGAACTACCAAGTCAAAGGAAAAGTCATGTCAGCTCGGTTAAAATGTTTATTTTCTTCACGGAGAGAAAGACAAGAATCAGCTTTTATTAGCTACAGTTCATCTGCAAATCATTTTACGACTGTCCATTTGCAAGCTGAGTGATTTTATGTGGCTTGTTCCAACTTAAGCTGTGAAGTAAATCTGTATATAGACTTGTCACATCAGCCTTCGCCTAGACAAATCAATACCGATAACACAAAGGCCAGGAACAAAAAAAAGTACAATTTAATATGGTTTTTACAGGGGGAAAAAAATTAAGTAACTCTGTATAACATGTGTTAAAACTTTTCCTGGTTTATATGTTATTGGGGTCAGTGGATTTGCTTGTCATGTGATTTTATTCTTAGAAAAGTAAATCGTAAAACATCAAATATAGGTACATTTGAAATACCCGAATTGTGTTTTGATACTACGAGTTATGTAGAATATATCTGTGTTTATTTTAATTGACAAAAGTTATTGCATAGTCATTTTTTTTGTCAAATATTTTCTTAAGGATTGAGGTTGACTGTTTGGAATAGATGGGTGAATTAATCCATTGTTGTGGTTTTCAGATAATACATATAAATTCATTGTCAGTCAGAGAAAAGAAAGACATTGCCTTGTGTCATGTTTGAATGACTGCAAAAAGAAATTAAAGTACCTTTATGTGATAATTTTTTTTAAAAAGAGAAATGATGGTGTATCCACAAGAATTTTTGTTTCATGGGTAGTTGCGGAATGGAAGCATGAAATTCTTAGTGATAAAATCGGTGAAGATATTGTTTACTTGGTCACATTTGGCCCAGTAAAGTCTTTAGACATTGATTATGGGTTGCGTGCTCTACCGTTTTGAACCAGCGAGTTGATTCTTTTTTTAAGTTAATCACACTATTTATCAATTCTTTTATTCTGTAACGAACATTTGTAGCAAGAGATTAAAATTTATTTCCGTCAGGGTCATGAGAGTGAATTCAAATTTTTAATAGTGCGGAGAAGGTCATCCCTGTTCACACAGATGTTTTTGATACAAAAAAAAAATTCGGAAATTTCTTTGGCAAGTTTTATGAAAGATTGGAGTGTTTCATACACTGTTCTATTTTTTTCTAGGGTCCTTGAATTGCAAGGTTTGACTGAGGACCCCTTGGTGACATTGGACCGAAATAAAAATTCACCCTTAGAGCCTGGTGAAATTCCCATAGACAGCGTAGGAATTCCCTCGAGCCCAACCCCCAATGGCACCTCAGATGGTAAGTAGATTTTCACAGATTTTTCTCAGGCTGTAGAAGACATCATTTTCATTCACTTGACAGCTTTGTAATGAAGCAGGCTGTTCTTAGGGGCTATTTTGCTGTTATTAGTGGACCCACTTGACTCTCTCACTGTTCTAATGATCCTACAATGGGAAGTGGCTACTTAAGACTGAAGTGCCTAGTCAGTCACAACAATCTCAATATAAGTAACAGTTTCCACCTCATAAGTAATAGGAGTTAGAAGAATCTGTAAAATTATTGCTTATTAAATTGCTAGCCTAATTAACAGGAATATGTATTTTTTGTCATCTCCTTTATGGTGTTGTCTTGGGCACTCACTCTTCGTAACGTAATTTAGTTTCGTTCCATTCTTCTATGAGATTATGTAAATGATCAAACTAATGGGGATGAAATGCTTTTTAATAAAAGCTTGTTGTTTGCTGTTTCATCCACAAGTGAGGCCTTCCAATAGCTGACAATTGCCATAACACTACATCACATTGTCGTGGAAACAATGGCCGCCCGGCACACTATCCCCAGCTCCATATCGACATTTTGTAATAGTTTAAAAAATTGATTAGCTGTAATACTAATCATCCCTATTTCCACCCAGAACAAAGTAGAAGCTCCTACTCAACTGTATTCACTCAGCAAACTTGGGCTGATTGTACGTTCCCTAGTTTATTTTATTTTCTCTGAGGTCCGTGGTAGGGGACTAAAGATGTATGCAGGGCAGGTCATCTTTATATTTTTCTGCCAGTTCTGATGCAAAGGGGAACTTGCCATGCAATGTTAAATCTAAATTTATTGGCTCTAGGCACTGTAAGTCACAGTGTCTGGTTGCTTACTGGCTTATTACCAAAGCAAAAGTTTAATTAATTTGAAGCAGATTGCAACATCCCTTTTTGATGACAAGGCAATCAATAGCAGAGGGATATATAGCTTTATTTGTTGGACATGACAGGTAATTTTTTTATAGTCGGTGACTGGGGAATAAATTCTAATTGTTAGCTCAGTAATCATCTATTTTTATCAAGTAAAACATTGAACAAAAATCCGGCTATAAGCCACGGTACTCTGTCATCAGTAGGGATGTCTGATAGAAGATTTATGTATCGGTAGCCATTGCTTTGAATTGGATTGGATGAAGAACTTGCCTAATCCATTGCCTTTCTTGATCATTAATATACATAGATTTGTCCCCTTGTCCATTTTGAACTTGAAACCATTGTCCCTTAGATAATGCTTCGATCTGCAAACCTATATTCACCACAAGAACTCAATACTTATAACCAAACAACCATGACAGCATCATGTACATCAGTAGGTGACCATAGAGTAACCAGATTCCAGTCTGCAAATGTGTTGCAAGTTTGATATTCTAACACCCAATGTTACAAGAATTCTTTTGTTCCGTGCTTCCTTTTTACATCATACATTGACATTCAACTCTAAGAGAGACCAAAAATCCATGGCCATCACACTTTGCTTGTCTCAGAGGTGTCTATTCCCTTTGCGATTTGAGGGAAGTCCAAGTTTGGTGAAACTCCTCTTTCAAACACTTTTTTCCTTTAGATATGTTCACTGGTGACAGTTCCTCTGTGACTTTTTTTGAAGGTGGTATTGAGTCCCTCGCTTCACCACCAGATGGCAGTACCTTCAGCAGCAGTGAGAGTTGGGTAATGTCAGCTGGCTCCCCTCCAGCAGGTAAAACTTAGCTTTTTATTATTTAGATTGTTAGAAATTCAAATAAAAAGTGATAATAATAAAAAAGATGTAAAAATTCAATAACTTCATTGCCAAAAAAAAAAGATTTATTGTTTGTTTGAAAACATCAACAACAAAAATGATGGTGAAAAAAAAAATACTGATTAAAAATTTTCATTAATTTTTGAAAACAGTAAACAGTTTTTATGGCTTATTCCATTAATTCACTTGTTTGAAATTAAAAAAAAAATCTTTCATAAAATAACTTTACATTGAAAATGATAACTAGCAGCTGTTTGTTATTACCTGGAAAACACTTTTAGGAATCAGAAATCAGTATTTGAATTTTTCTTTGGCATATTTATAAGTACAGGTGGATGTATAAATGGTTAGTGTGTGGTCACATTTCACAGATTTAATGGCAGTTACTAATACAACTTATAGCTGTTCCTAATGTGATGCATTAAATTCATTCCCACCTATAATGGAATGTGTCGCATTCAAATGCCTCATTTCCTATCAATTATGAAAACTTAATGAGGTTTATCTGGGTAGGGGGATCATTGTTTGTATCTATAAAGATTATATCTTTACTTTTATTTTCTACACACAGTGAAAAGTGAACCCAATTGTGACACGAGCCCAGTCGATTTTTCCGTCACCGATTCGCTGGACAACTTAACAGGTAATGGTCCACTTCCCAACGGCCAAAATGTACAAGTTCATCGTGGTCATTTGAACTAGAAAAGAATGGAGCTTTTTATTATGAGTGAAAACTTTAAGGGGAAAAAGTTAGGAAATGTTTGCCCTGACAAGTGTAGGACTTGACAAGTTCACATAGAGCAGGCAGTGGGGAGTTTTCACATGCAATTACCCTGACACAGAACAGCTATACTGTACTGTAACCATAGAGATTAGTTTGAATTGATTGTTTCTCTGTTGGCTTTTGTAGGATCCAACAGTGAAGTTGGGCTGGACACAACACTCACATCATTCTATAATAGGTAAACATAACAATTAATGAAGATTAAAATAAAACACAATGAAAAAAAGATAGCAATTAAAAAATAAAATTATTTTGAAAACTATTAATATTTCATTTATAAAAAAAGTTAATTTACCGTAACTGTAAAATGTATAACACATTTAAAAAATTAATTGTAATCAACATTCCATTGTTATAGCAACAGTTCCCCTAGTGCTGCGGTGTCTAGGACATCAGCTTCCGAGATGAACACAGCGTACTCTCAATTCTCCGGCCTCCAACCGGGCTTCAGTTACCAGCAGCAGGGGGGATATCCCCTCATGTACAACCCTCAGGATCGTAAGTCAACTGTACTTCTCATCTTAATGTCAGCCCAAGGCACATGGCTTTCAAATAAAAAAAAATTACTGTAAATCATTTTTTATTGAAAACTTCATGGGTGACTTTCTGCTCATAAAATGTTCATTCTCAAGTACATTTGTATTAATATAGATTTTTTAAAACAAATCTCAATTATTAATGCCAAGTATAACTATCTCAAAAAAAAGGTGTTACAGAAAATTGGTATTATACAACATTCAAGCAAACAAAATTATTTTTGATGATATAGAAAAGGGGGGATACAAGCAATTAAAGACTTGTTTTTTCTCCCTCTTTCTCTTTCTAGCAGGTGCTCACTTTATTACCTATCCAGTTGTGCTTCACTGTCCAAATAACCTCGTAAACAATAAACAGTGTTATTGATGGGGCAGGATCTGTATATTTGATTGACTTTAAATTGATTTATAAGTTTCTTTAACTTACATTTCTCCCCCATCTGATTTTCGGCTCCTGATGAAAACCATGTGTAGTCTACGAGAAATTTATTGACAGCAAGCATTTCGCATGCATTTTATACATTGAAAGGGGGGAACATATTGTAAATCTTTGCTTTATTAATGATGTGCTATCAGTTAACTTGGAAATTATTGGATTATTGGAAATCAGAAAAGCATGAAATGGTGCTATAAGATGTTATCACTTAATTTGCATGCCTAACATTGGGGAAGATATTCATCGGACTCTGTCTCTGGGCTGTGTTAACAGACCAGACACAGGTTTATGGGGGGGGCAGATCTCCATCACACTGCATAAAAATATGTTAATGCCAATCAAGTGACAACACACCCAAAATCTTGAGCATTTTTATTCATATATATTTTTTTAATTTATTATTTTTGGGGGGTGCGGGATGAGAAATTTTTAATTAAGTATTTATTTTTATTTTATTATTTTGTGTAGTGAAAAAAACACAAGTGGCACAGGGTACCACCGGTTTTTATCCTTCCTCCAGCTACAGTCAGGCCCAGTACATGTGTAAGTACAGCTGTATCCATTTATCACGTGTCACCCAGGAAATAAACAACATAGGATAGTTTTTTTTTCAAGAATTGAAACTGGGTTAAACATTTCGTTAGAATATTTTTCCTTGTAATAGCAAAGTTTTATTCAGACACATTATCATTCACCTTATATACCTTCATGTAAATTTAAAATTATTTTTGAATGAATAAAAACTCTTTCAAGAAATTTGACAATTAATGATAAAATTATATTTTAAAAAATCAAATTCGTATTTTTCCTAGTATGTGTCTATTCAACATGGTGTAACTAATCTTTTAAATTTGATTTGTTATTGCAGACTCCACACAAGTGCCCTTTCCTAGTGCTAATCCTGCCAGTAACCCATCATCTAATTCTTCAGCACAACAGGTAAAGACTGAATTTTTGTTCTCTCAGATGTAAAACAAAAAATGAAACTCATTAAGAAATAAATACGAATACTGTCTATAAAAGTCAGATGTTAAAGTAAATCTGGAAAATAATGCTTACTCAGGTTTTGAGGGTAAGGGCTCATGTTTCTTGCTAAGACAGCATTCAGCTTGTTTAATTATAGAAGTATGTTGATTAATTTTGTTTGGTACTAAATGCACAATGTTTCATATTATTTATAAAATCATTGCAAAGGAAAAAAATACAAAAAGCAAACCAAAAAGCATCAATCATGAATAAATAAATTTATATCTGTTTTATTAGCCGATTTATTAACAATGATAACAAACGGTATGTTGTTTACATTTTTTCATAAAAAGTGTCACATATTGTGGGTAGATAGCAATACATAAAAAAGCCTCTTTGCATTAGTAAACTGTTAGATACAGCAGATCTATTTGTGTAAAAGAAAAAGATACAGAATTGTCCATATCAGTTTGCCGTTTTCTAGTGGGTGTGAAATGCTGTTAGAGAAATATAAAATAGTTTTTATTTCACAAAGCTGTTTCATGTAGTGTACCATATGTTAACATCTATGACATAGAATGCCAGAGAGAGATTTTTATTACATAAAATAATAGTATTTTATCCAACAAGTTGTAACAAGTGTGTTGAGGCGAAATAGATTTGATCAATATTTTGAATGCAAAGAATGAAAGGAATGGTTGATAAAATTAAAACATGGGGGATGTAATTATAGTTTTAGTCCACATGTTACAAAATGCACAGATTTATTTCAGTCAAAAAAAACAAAAAAAAAAAAACAACCAAACAACAAGACTTGCAATAGTTGATAAATCTGAAAAGAAAATGGTAAATATTGCCCTTAGATAATTCTGGTTGTATTTTGTATATTGCAAATAAAACAAGAGTATGTCTTGTGGGCTTCAGAAAATGGTTGTAAAGAAAATTAAATTTGGAAAGTCATTACTTTGCTCAGAAGCAATAAATTTAGACTAATTATATCAAATCTATTTGTAATAATTATGGGGAATGCTTCTAGGCATATTTTAAGTAGTTCTAGGAAGAAAAATTACTATTTCAAACTATACAGGGCACTTTACTGCAGCAACCAAACCACTAAACTTATATTAGGATTTAATTAAATTTTGTACAAGACCTGAGAAACTTACATTGAAAAAATAATTTGATTTTTAAAAACAATATAAAAACAGATATTTCCTCTCTCTTTTTTTGCCAATAACTAGAAATTAATCCAAGGCAAAAATAATTAAAATTCTCTCAGACTTGGATATAGTAGGCATCAGTTGTTTGAGAATAAATAATAGTGTCTGTCTTTTCTACCCGGGTGTTTAGAAATCGGATTGATTGGGCTTGACATTCGGAAGATTGGGAACTCTCGGGTACCAGTAGCTCTAACCCCCTCAAGTAAAAGGAGTCGCATTTCCGATTGTTGAAATATTCACACCATTTCTCAAAACATTCTTTTGAGGTTCAATGTGATTAACATCAAAATCCAATGAGAAAAGAAAACTTTTTTTACTTAACTATCTTAGCAGTTAAGAAAGTTCTGAATTATAAATTAATTTGTTTTTCTTTCTCAATTTGATTTTAAAAATTGTCTCGAAAAAAAAATCACTTTGTCATGAAGGATGTAGCCACTGTCAAACTATAGTCTACGATGGCACCTTTAATGAATAATTTCCAAATTTAAACTCGCTTTATCTGATTTGAAATTCCTTATAAATTTTACGAGGATTACAAAAACGCGGTGTTTGGATTGGCTGGGCTGGGGATGAAATAGTGAAAAAAGACATAAATTAAGGTGACAATTTCATGGGTATGGCATTAAAATGCAAATCACACCTGTGTCCATTGTACAGTGGGTTTTTTAGTGTCAGCTCTGATGAATAAAATGGTGATGTTCATGATTCCAGATAATCATAAAATGAGATACGTAAATTCAAACACAATAAATTTTATGCAAAAACATATAAGTTGTCAAATGCCAAGTTTTAGGTTTAGCATAATATCAATGTGACTGAATTTTATCTTTCAAATCTCTCCATTCTATTTTCATCAGTGTTTATTTTACATTATGAAAAAGCTATTCTGCAGTAAATTTTATTGACATTGTTAATAGATAAAACCCATATTTAAGGAGCCTAAAACTCACACAATCCAAGTATTTTTCAATTTGCCCTTTATCAAATCGGCCCCTGTGCGCATAAATCTTCTTCCAGAGTATGTAAATTAGAAAATATGCATTAAATCTCTGAATTAATTGAAAATCTGCACTAACACTTCATTGATGGGAGTGAATTTTAAATACTATGGATTGTTGTTAAATGAATCTGAAAATTTATCAGTTTTATCATGAATTGGCAAATAAACGAGGGCATTTAGTAAAATCTGAATATGACATAATCTTACTGCTAAATCGTGGACTAAAATTAATCAAGGTTAAAAAAAAAAGAGGCGCTTTAAGCATTTATTCCCCTCCCCTCCCAAAGTATTTTTCACTTTCTGATAAAATAAATGTTAAATAAAAGATTTTATAGTTTCAAATTGTCATATTTTTGTTCTTGCAGCCTTTGGAATATAACTACCCGGGATACCCTGGTTATTTTTATTCTGGAGTCCCAACCAATTCCACGGTGGTACCACCCACCACACAGACCTACCAGTTAGTGGATGTACCACACACCGCAACCGGTGAGTACACCGCACAGCTAGGTATAAAAAGAAAACACAAACACAAACTAAAGCAAGACTGCATGCATTCATGTAGTTTCCCACTGATACTTTGACAAAATTCTAGTAACGAAAACTTTCTTGTACTTGAAAAGATTACAGGTTCTAATGTCTGGTTTGTCTAATGAAAAAAGTGGCATTAATTTTAATGAAGTGAAGATACACACCCTATCATGATGTACATTTCCCTAAGGAATCCCTGATTTAAAGTTATGGGACACACCCTCAAATAATTAAGTGTTCATTGATAATTATGACATTTTGAATTAATTGAGCTGTGACTGTGTTTTGCAGAAATTCATTAAAATGAGTCCATTTCTTTCATGAACACCATTAATAACAACAGTTGCATTGCATCAACTGTAATTAGAAACTAGGATTACGTACAGGAGGGAGAGCAATAATTGATCCGCACTTCTCCGCGCGATCCACAGGGACTAACGTGGAATATGGAGACCTTCATTGTCAACTCGAAAATTTTTGTTTAGATGTGTATCTAACTCTGTTTATCTGAACTCCAGATCATGTAAAAGACGTCCTTATAAGGTTAATTCTTTTTTTTTTTCGGGAGTCTTTCATGATTTGCCTTTATATGAAAATGGAATAAAATACAAATTATTTATTAGAAGTAGATGGCCACACTATTGATTGAAAAAACGGCTGTTATTATTTCAGCAATCTGATGACAAGTTTATTGTTTGGAAAATGAATGGCAAATTTTTGCTGTAAATATTATTTGTTCATGTTTTATTGACCAATAATTGAATCTTGTTGATTTATGTTAAAAGCTAGGAGAGGGAATTCTAAATATTTTAACAGTCAGTCTTAATTTTATGTTATATCAATGGTTCCCACTGGATTTAGAACTCTGATGATCTGCACTGAATTTTGAATTCTTAAACATTGGATGTGGACAAGTCATGAAAAAATATAGAACTAAACTATTATATATTTTCACCGACTTTGAGTTGGCCTTTTGGGGATTTTCCAGATTAAAACTTTAAAAAGTGACTTATTTATTCTTGCTCCTCAGGGATACATGTCTGTTAAGTAAGAATTTTGAAAAAATATATTAAAAAAAAATTTTAATTGAAAGAAAGCCATAAGCTGTCCAAGGAACTCAATAACAATGTGAATGCTTGCTGTACTTGTGTTTCAACACAAGAAGACTTTTGACATATCTTCCACACCTACTCTTTACAAAATAGAAATACACATTACTGAAAGTAAGCAAAAATGCGGTAATCTGAAATCCAAATTAAAGGCCGGGCAGATACCCCCAGTCCTGTTACGGGGTGTACCTTGACGTTATAGCCGGGGTAAATCAGGTAGAATCGTCAACTGAGGGTCCCGACATGTCCTTGTTTTGTCAGCAGACAATAGGCTCACAGGTGACGGGCCCCCGACAATAGTACCAATCTGTAGCCTGTCGAGTCCCCAAGCTATTGTCAGCCATGATGAATGTGACCGCAGGACCAGGCTTTAGCGTTCTGTGTGAAACTTAAATTAAACATCATTATAGATGTGTGTTTAGTAGATAAATCTAGGTGATAAGACAGATTTTAGCATCAGCAGGTGTGAATTAATTCCAGTTTCTTTTTTAATATTGTGGCATATCGTTTGATTTATGACTCGTCCGAAGAATGATATCCGAATTATCATTTTTTTCTTGTATCAGTATTTTAAGCAAATTCAATCTGTTGAGATTTAGATAAATGATACTCTATTCTTAATGTTACGGGTTTTTTCCACTGATGAAATTTTTTGATAATGAAATGTGTAAAGTTAGAGAATTTTGTCGCTGTGTTTCAAAATAGCACTAGCATGCTAAAGATTTCACAATTGATAATTATTTAGAGGGAATATGTGAGGTGTGAATTTCATTTAAACATTCTAAGTAAGGCTAAGGTGAATGATGACTTAGTTTTGAAAAAAAAAATCTTTATTTTTGTTGGGAGAGTTATAAAGTGACAAAAACTTTGTGCTCTTGTTAAAGGGAATCAGCAATCTGATGTCACTTCCTGTTTAGTGGGAAGTGGACATATAAGTCCAAAAGTAACCCCCCAGGCCGGTAAGTATCTGGTGTGATGTTACCCCCCAAGGCATGCTAAAAAAAGGGCACATGTCCCCCCGTATGTCAAAGTGTTGTTTGCATCTGAATGTTATTTTTACTGTGTGTGTGTGTGTGTTTCAGTATAAAGCACCCACCTATCAGTGCGTTTACTTCAAACAGGCAGTGAAACAATTCCCCCACCATGGTTTTGTTTGGGGGCAGTGAGGGGGATCCACCTCTGACCGCACTGTCATAAATAACAGTAACCTGTAACCGCGGGTACTAGCGCAGCCATATAAGTTGGGGTGGAAGTCGGTGGAGTTGATTTATCTGTAGTAAGACCTTTAATTCCTCCTCGCCCACCATTGTGATTAGCCCTCACACTTCATTGTTTACATTATACCCAGCCTGTAGATTTTTTTGCGATGTCTCGGAACTGGCATTTTTTAAAATTTACAACTTAAGTGCAGTTGACAAAGATTTTAATGAATTCTGCTCCCTGTAAAAAAAAAAAAAATTTATGCTCTAAAATGCTGTTGTATCACAATTGTGATTTGTCGTTGGCATCCTTTTGTCTTTTGTGGTCCTTCAACTGCTCTGTTTATCTGTCTTGTCTTGTAAGTGGCTCATTTTGTGGAAGGATTTATAGTGTAACAAATTTTGAAATTATGCAGATTTCATCACCTGCATTGGGGATGTTAAAAGCTTTTATCTTGCCTGCGTGTCTCTGGTTTCTGGCAGAGGCAGAATTCCAACATCTAACATAATGCACACAGTTTCATCATGCTTGCAATCAAAATACCAAACAGTAACAGATTCAATTTATTGTTTTTTTCCGTACAGTGGGTGTGAAAATGTGCCTATGATGACTGCCATAGCTAACATGAAATATCTGTTGAAGTCATGAAATTCTTACATTTATATAGCGCTAGTGTTACCTAAGACAAGGTCATTGCATGCTCTGATTTTTGTTCTTTCAGAGACGTTCCCCAGTATAAACCCCTCACCCTCACCCCCTGGTATGAGAGACAACACATCCTCTAGTAAGTCACTACCACATCAAAGTTTAAGGACTTAACTATATGTATCAAATTTATTTGTAGAATTTTTCTTGGAAAAATTTAGATTGATTAACATAGAGCACCTGCTTAATTAACCATTTGTAAAAAAAAAAATTGCTCAAAAAGGTCATTTTGTATTTTATATGCATTGGCAAATTTAAAATATTGTCAAGTTTAGGAAGTGATATTGACCATGAATCTTTTGAGACTGCAATTCAAATAATAAAAACATAGAAAGATAAACTGTAAAATAATGTGAAAATTTTTTATTTTCATAAATTTGGATATAAGTATTGGAAAATTAAATAAAATTAATTGATTGAATACATAAGTAATTTTTTTCATCATTTTTACACAGAACGCAGCAGTCGCAATAGAAGCACGGCCAGTCGAAGTGGTCGAACGACAGCCTCCCCGGGACCAGAGTCTGACTTAGAACGGGTGTTTGTGTGGGATTTAGATGAAACAATCATCATATTTCATTCACTGCTCACAGGAACATATGCACAAAGATATGGAAAGGTATGTACATTTTGTTGCTTTATTTGACATCCACCTCTATGCTCTGTTTGTTTGATAAAATTCAGTTCGTTTGAATGTTTGTTTGTAGAGCCCCCAAAATTTACTTCCAGAAATAGGAACTACCTGGCATTTCAAAACACAAAAAATTCTGAAAGCGTTTCACAAAAAATTTATTTCCAAATGATTTGTCCTTGATTGGGCCAATCAGGATTATCTTAATGTGTGTGTTTATATTGTTTAAACCTAGTTGCCATGAGAGACTGTTTAGAAATTAGGTAGAATTAGGTGCAGCGAACCGCTGCTTTGTTTGCCGTTTTTAACTTGGCTAGGAAGCCAGCGCTGCTGAACCATCTGTTACAAAGGACAGAGATTCTTCTGTTTTTATTCCAATACTCCCCTTTGTAGAACAAGCCATTGGACTTGGAAACATTCATATCCTTGATTATCCTGGTAAATGAGGCTTACAGAAAAAAAAAAGATTTTGTTATGCCAACAGAGTCCCCTGTTTAGATAGCTGCCGTTTTACTGACGAGTAAGCAATTATGAAATCAGTTATTTTTTTTTATATTGGCCAGTAGACATTCCAATGAAGAATCTGTAGATTTCATGTCATACTACATCATGACTTTAATGAATGAAGTAATTGTTTTATAGAACAGATAAAGGATTAGAAAAAAGGGGGAAAAAATACCAGTAAATCTCTGTATCAGTTGAAGTGTTTTAAAAAAATCCAGCAAGGATTATTGCATCCAGATCCCATTCTTCTTTGCGTTTTTTCTAACATGTGTTGAATGACAATTTCCCACGCTTTTACTGATATTCATCATTTTCTAGGAGAAATATTCTCGACATTCTCCAGTGATATGTATCTGACAGTATAGTTTATGAATTCTACCAGCAAAAAAAAAAAAAAAGATTCAGGGAGTAAAAATGTACGTTAGAGTGTGCATAATTATCTCTTGTTTTCAGTCATTGAGAGTTTTCCTCAGATGCTGGTACTGAAATAAGGGCAACCTGATGTTTTGTCTTTTCGGCTTCTGTCCTCGCTGAAATCTCATTGCTCCATATGCTGCCGCAGTATTGTATCTGCTGATCTTTGATAAATAAACAGGAGTTCCCTGTAAGTTTATGCAGCCTTTCCTGATCTCTAGCAGCTGTCCCGAGTCTTTCCGAGTGCCAATACCTTGTTATTGGAGGGTATTAGCCGGTTTTTAGCTGTCACTTAAAAGTGTTTCAAGCTCTCAAAAACCCGAGTGATTTTTCCCCCCTTCACTCTGGCAACACTAGAAACAAAATTAATAAGATAGTTATCCCATTAATCATCAGACATGAGTTGTTTTCTATAAGTGAGAAAAAACAGTTTTTCGAGAAGTGGATGTTTTCAAACATGTCTCGGGAGCTTATCAGACTATTTCCAGATGAAATTGCAGATTTCTGTTAACATTTGACATCGAAAACCTATTTCTTTCCTGTCATACGGCTATTGTTCTGTGGGGACAAATTTATTTTTGGTCAATACACATCGCGAGATATATGTACATGGTTTACGACATATTCTGTTGACTGGTGCATTAGTTGTACAATAGGGCCGCGGATCGGGGAGACCTTGGGTAATGTCTTCCCGCGGATGATTTGTGACAGCTGTTACGAAGACAATGTGGTGCATCCTGTGCAAGGGACACATTGATATTTTGTGTCAGGATGGTTTTCTTTTCATTAACTGTATAATGACTGAAAGTGCTTTTTATTCACAACGAGAAACAATCTACCAAAATGCACTTCCCTTAGAAATATTGGCCTTCACAATGAAAATAGATGGTCTCCAGATAAAATCTTTTACACATCAAAAGATAACATTTAGTATTGTTGGTGGTGAAAAGCTTTTATCCCAACTTGATTAGGAATTTGTCGTTGGCAGTTTGTCCAATAGTAATCATTGTATATAGCTCATTCTAGCCATAAAATAAAAAGGACTTTCCTGAATGGGTCTGACCAATTGGATGTGTAGTATGACCATTGCTTGTACCGGATTGTGAAGGAAGATGGCGTACAAGTTCGATGTACTGTGTAGAAGAGCTTTTTTCCCCAGTTTAATTACTCTCTGTTCTTGGGTGTGTACCGTGTTTTATGCTTTGATTGAAAAATAAAACTTAAGAGTTCAATATTCTTCACTGATTGTCAGTCCTTGTCAAAGTTATGCACACAGATTACTGTTCAGTTGTTTGGTTTCTTTTAACATCTGAATAAATATCTGGCTATTTGTTGACTGTTGCTTTAATTTAAAGTACACTTTCCCACATACTTGTGAAACAGGTTTGACATACAGAAAAAAACGGAGAAAAAATAAAAATTGTACCATAGTCTTCAAGGGTCTGCTCTTGACCGATTAGAGTGATCGATTTGGCTGAAAACATCAATGAAATTCACCATTGTAAGCTTCGTTTGATGTGCGGATTTCAAAATCCTGTTACTTAATATTTGACTAGTAATTAGTGGATGTTTAAAAAACATGTGAGCAGAGAGAAGTAGGAGTCCAATGGAAGTTGGCCAATCCTCTACTGAGGTCTCAAGCCTGACCTGTCAAGGCAACATGTAATTGATAATTAAGGAGGAATTCACAGAAACCCACAGAAGTAACTCTGGCTAAATTTGACAGGAAAGCCCAGGGGCTTCCCAGATAATTGAAATCTAGGAGTCCTCATATTATAACGAGAATCTGTCAAAGCAAAAGAAAAAAATAATAGATTCCTTTAGTTTTCCCTAACTCTCTTTTTTTTTGTAATGGATGTTTTCCCCCCTGATGTTCCAGATAATTAATTGTCAAAGATTTATGAAAGTTCTTTTTTTTTTTAAAAAAAAGCTAAACAATGGGTAACCATAGCAATTCTTTAGAGATATGTGGTTTACCGAAAAGAAAGTTGACCCCTTGAGTAGGGCTGGGAATCTCTGTGAACTGACAGGTTAAACTAGTTTGGCTTTAGATCCAATCATCTGTGACATGTGGAAGAACTCCCCAGCATCAATCTTCTGATAATTGAACAAGTCTTAATGTAAGATAATTAAAGCTACAAGTAGCTTCTAAAGAGGCAGTTAGTGGGCCCTAATAGGATTATCTCCATCAGATATTGTCTCATGTATGTGTTTATTTTTCCTTGCAGGAATATCATTCCTCTGTGTCACTAGGGGTGCGAATGGAGGAAATGATCTTCAACCTGGCCGATTCTCATCTATTTTTCAATGATCTAGAGGTAAAGGATAATTTAAATATATTGCATTGATAATTCTATATCCATTATCTTGTCCTGAAAATATATACATTTAACTTTTGAATTGCATTGCAAAGCAAACATGTTTCAAAAATTTTCCTCTGTGCTGACAATTATTTAATACAGCACTCAGGACAGACCTAAGTCAAAATTTTTAATTATTATGCCATGAGAAATAATTTTGAAAGTTAACCAAAATTTTCAGTATTTGGTTTCATATAAATACTGTAAATCACTTTTTATTCGCGAGAACTTTATTTTCGCGTAATTACGCGAGACAGTGTGCTCGCGAAAATTTAATTCTCGCGTATAATAGTATTCCTTAAGATTATATGGAGCGATAACCACAATTCATGAAAAATTTGTCTCGCTAATCAAGGGTCAAAGACTATCTCGCGAAAATAAGGTGTCGCGAAAATTCAGTGATTTACAGTATCATATAAACTTCTATTATACATTCGTTTTCAAATAAAAAGATATTTGAAATAATTTTTGCAATTTTGACTGAAGTCGGTCTTGGGGCCTAATCATACACATATGGGGATAAACATGGACTAAGTCACTTCTTTGAAAGAAATATGTTTGGGGTAAATTCATTAAATAATCATTCAGGATGAGATTTTTAGAGGGTTTCAAATCAGGCTTTAAATAGTAACTTTGACCAAATATCACCCCATATCGAGTCACTAGATGACTATGTATCTAAAAATACTGTGCAAATATGCCAAATGAAAAATCTATTCAAGGGTTTAAAAAT